TTTTTATTGCAATAAATGATCTAAAGAAAAATCGATTAAACTAATCAAAATGAACTAATTTACGTCTGCTGCTTTCGGTTAATTCCATTAAATTGGTTGTTTTTAAAAAAGGTTATATATGTCTATAAAGAGATTCAATGTGAAAAATAAATAATAAAATGGTTGTCAGCTTATGTTTAATGATGCATTATAGCTGATTATGGAAAGTTTAAGAGAGTTTGTGATTTTTCTAGTCGTATTCATCTTTCCCAATTCAATTTTTGCATCTATTGGATATCTTTGAGGTGTGTTTTCTTTCAATGGTGTGCGCCTTCATAGGTTTCATGGTCTTGTTCGTGATCTTATAGATGGCTTGACGGTTGAACTTTCTCTATAGTGTGATTAAAGTTCCAAACAAGTAGACATTGAAATATCTTCCGCTAACTTCAAACTCATAAATAAGGAATTTGTCAAACATGAGTGCTTCGATGGTCAAAACTAGATCAGGTTCGCAAGGCCAAGTTTCTATTTGTTGTGCTTAAGCTTGGTTTTGTTTTGGACATTGAATCTCCCCTATTTTCGTTGATCCATACCCTAAAGTAGAAAATGAACCAAATCTAAAAGCAATTTATAATATGAAAAAAATTGACGAATCTATACACAGAGAATTCGAGAGCTTATTCATTGGTCATATAAATAATTCCTTATATAACCTCCTCTATTATGTGTACGTGTTGGTCACAAATCCTAGAGAAATCTTCAAAGCCTTTAAGCTTAAGTACAAGACACATGAGGAAAATACTAACAAGTACCTTGTGTCAATGTACTTAAAGTTCCAAATGGATGATGAAGAATCCATCTTGGAGTAGGTGTATGAGCTTCATGTCTTATTCAACAAGCAGACCAAGCTTTCAACCTCTCTACCGAAGCTCTTCCATGTTTTTTAACAAAAAATCTAATCTACTCTAATTTCACCTATGTCCCAGACGAGACTTGAACCCTCGACCACAAGGGGGGGGGGGGGGGGGCACCTAAGTGATTAGATTTATTGTTGGATTAAGGTGTCTAAGCTCATAACTAAATTGATATATTCTTGTAATTAGAAGCAATGCCCTTTTTGGGTTTTCCTCATAACTAGAACTTGGTTATAATGAAATTTATAGAGATGGTAAATTTATTAGTTTATTATATGATTAATAAATTGTAACAAATGATTTGTTAATATATTATGTGATTAATATATTAACTGGAAACAGATAGTTGATTTGTTGATTTCTTATGTGATTAATAAATTAATGTGAGATCAACTGTTAAACAATTGATTTGTTCATTTGTATGATTAATAAATTAATGTAAAATCAATTAGAATTGATTAATTATTAATCAGAATTAATATGGAATTAATTCAGGATTAAGTGGAATTAATTAAAGGTGTAAGGATTGAGTTATAAATGTTTAATAGTTGAACAAATGAGAGGATCTAGAAACCTACATCATATAGATGGTTTTGAGGGCCCAATTAGGGTTTCTAAAAGCCTCAAAATGATAACTAGGAAACTAGATAATTGCTTGATTTGAAATATTATTATTATATGTTCAAATTTAGGGTTTTCAGGGTTTCCTGACAACTATAAATAGGACCCTTGTGTAAGTTATTTTTGTGTTCTTCCACACCTAAAGCAGTCCAGATTTATCATGCTCTCATCACTCCTCACGTGTCTTCTAGTTCTAGGGTTTGGGTGTGATCCATTAGAGGCATCATCCTTTTGGTGCTAAGCTTTCCAAATCCAACCACTACAAGGGATTTAAGTGATTGTTTACTACAACAAATCAAAGGTATGTAACCCTAACTTGGTATTTTGGTTACATTCAAAGTGTTAAGACATAAATCTTTTAGGTTGCTTGTGCCCTTAAGTGTTAAGTGAAATTCCGCAAGCACATAGTTTTATTTGTAACCTATAAAACCCATTATTTATATTGTAGCTGGAGAAGCTATTTCTTAGGCTAACAATAAACATACATGTATAGCTCACTCAGTGATGAAGGTCGACCTTAATGTCTTAGTTGTAACAAGAAAAGACGCAAAGTGTATTAAAAATTTACTTTTGAATATCTATTTGTGTGTGTGGGTGGGGTGGGAGGGGGGGGGGGGGGTATTCCAATGTTATTTATTCTCATGTTTTGTGATAGTGAGGCCACACGGTCTAAAGTATACAATCTATCTATACTATACTATAAAAGAAACATTTTTCTTTTCATCACATTCATTTTAAACTCCTACGACTTTTCAATTTCTTTTAATAATGATTATAAATTGATGAATAATGTGAAACAAATGCAAAACCTAAATTATAATCATAAATTAACTAAACTTTAATATTAAAATAATATATTTTACTTTTTCTTATAAAATAATGTCTTTAACTTTAAACATATTATACTTAAATTATTAGTTTAGATATGTTGTATGTGAACCATTGTTATTTTAAAGTCACAACTTTTGAATATTTTATATAAAATATTTCAAATTGTTAATTTAAATAAAACGTTAAAGGGTCAACTTAGATCGAAATTTGAATTTACCTTAAAAGAAAATTCAAAGATTATTTTATAAATAATTAAAAGTTATAAATTATAGTGTTAAATGCAAAACCTAACTGTAATCCCAAATTAACTAAAAAAAATCCTAAAAGTATTTTTACAATAACTATATACATTAAAGGGTTAAGTAAGATCGAAATTTCAATTTAACTTAAAAGAAGATCCAAAGACTATTTTGGAGATAGTTAAAAGTTATAAATTTTAATATTAAAATAACATCTTTTACTTCTACTTATAAATTATGTTTTTAACTTTAAACATATTATACATTTATACTTAATAGTTTGGATATGTTGTATGTAAACCATTGTCATTTTAAAGTCACACATTTTGAATATTTTTGTATAAAATACTTCAAATTGTTAATTTAAATAAAACATTAAAAGTTTTACTTCGATCGATAGATGAATTAAACTTAAAAGAAAATTCAAATATTATTTTGTAAATAGTTAGAAGTTATAAATTGTAGTGTTAAATGCAAAACCTAAACTCTAATCTCAAATTAACTAAAAAATATTTTTAAAACTATTTTTATAATAATTATAATGTTAAAGGGTTAACTAAGATCAAAATTTCAGTTAAACTTAAAAGAAAATCCAAAGATTATTTTAGAAATAGTTAAAAGTTATAAATTGTAGTGTTAAATACATAAATGTAATCCCAAATTAACAAAAAAAAATGTTTTTATAATAATTAAGAGTTTCAAAATAAGTAGTTTAACATAACTTATAACAACAATAGTTAAAAGTAACATTAAATATTTACAATAATAGAATTTAAAATGTTAAGCAAATAAACTTTTTAAAAATAATTAATCATAACAACAACTATAAATATCAGTAAATTATATATTATATTTAATTTTATTCATGAGTAACTCGTTGGTAGAGGGTATTGAGACTATAGAGCTTAAAAAGGTGCATGCATTTTCATTTAATTCAAATAAACAATGTTTATATCAACTTAGTATAAAAATATTACATAAGATTTAACAACAATGTCAATTTTATATTTAAAAAACATATATTTTGAATTTCAACTATATTGTTGTATTCTGCACAACACACAAGTATTCATCTACTAATATGTATAATTGAAAGTCAAGATACGTTGGTTTTCGACACAACTATATGAGACAACTAATTGAAAATGATATATATCAAAATTGTTTATGTCAAGACACATAGAAACTTGGCAGGTCAACTTACCAAACATCTGACAACAGATATGGTTGGAACTACTATGAGAGTCAGAGATCCTTAACAGAATAGTGATGAAAACCAAAATTGGAATCAGTGCTCAACTGCTCATATTTCTCAACTTTAAATGGTAATACATAGTCGCCAATAATGGAAAGTATTACCACTAATGATAGATTCATATGAAATAGGATAATATGCCGTTGTTAAAAAACGAGGTTAAAACTCTTAGCAAAGTCTCCTCATATTAACTCTATAGGTAACATGCCATGTTGCAAAGGGGATATCCATGAGCGTTTCGTTCCACATGGACTTGCCCAAGAAAAGTACTTCTTTACCAAAGAAAATATAACTTTTCATCAATAACTTTCGACTAAATTTTGTTTTTTATTATTTAATACCAATAAATCCGATTTAGTATATCAAGTTTCCTTATGTTATCCTCTTAAAAATTTGTGATTCCAAATTGAAAGAAATGGATACTTTGACAAAGCTAGAATAGACAAAGATACATGCATCAAAATCCAATCTTCTTTATGAAGATTTTTGTTGCCCACAACACAATCCATAGCCAATGATTTCTTGATAAACTTGATTGGTTGTGTGATAGTGGTTAATGCCTAAATGGTAAGTGGAATTCCATAATTCCTCCATTATTTATTCATTTCATACTTTCTAATTTCATTTAAAAATGAAATTTTAATTTGTGAGGTTAACTTACAATATTAATTTACCACTTCTACTTTTTATAATCACACAAATACAATAGCCAAATTTTGACCATTCTTTTTATAGTATTTTACTAAATACTCTCAATCTGTTTTTTTTTTCTAACTAATAATTCACCTAAAATATCTTATGAAAACCATCACTTTCATAATTTATTCCCTACCCAACCCAAATCCACACCCACTAACAAAACCAAAAGTACCCTCCCACTAAAATTGCAAGCCAAAATAGAAAAAAAAAATGTTCTTTTTCAACAAGGAAAATTAATCTAAATATCTTAACATGTCACACAAAACTTAAAACATCAAATCAATATTTCGATTACTCAAACAAACATATATATATATATATATATATATATATATATATATATATATATATATATATATATATAT